GAGCAATGTCTCCTTACAAATGGAAATCTGCATTCTCTCTGGGATTTGTGGAGTGATAGTAACACTTCTCAAATTCCTTCCTGTTGCCCCCTCCCATAATAAAAACTTCAGGTGGAAATGTTTTTAATTAGAGAAAAATTGATGTCAGCTCAATGCAAGAAATAAATTTCAGGAGGCCTGGAGATAACTTAAGAGTTTGGAGCTCTTGCCTTACAAGCTTGATTCCCAGGGGCCAGAGAGAGAGAATACAGCAGGTGGGGCTTTTGCCTTGCATGTGGCTGACCTGGGTTTGATCCCTGGCATCCTGTATGGTTCCCTGGGCACTGCTAGGAGTAATTCCTGAGTGCAGAGCCAGGAGTGACCCCTGAGCACTGGTGGGTGTGGCTCAAAAACTAAACAAAAAAAGAACAAATTTGATCCAGAGCTTCACCTGCCATGTTATTCTTTGTTCCCGAAAGCCATCCCAGTGACTGTACTATCTGAGGTCTCCTGGTGAGCACAGCCAAAGTGTGTGACCCCAGTGAGCACACAACCAAGTACACATGACCCCTGCTCATCAAAAGAACAAAGGAAAACTTAAACAGTGGAAGTTGTCCAAGTTGTCCAAAGAGAAGCCCAGCTGCCTCTGGAAATGAGTCCACCTCCACTGGAAGCATTCAGATAGAAACTGGACAGCCATTTACTTGCCTGAGGATATTGTAGAGTCACACATGTGATAAATTTTGAGCTACAAGATTGAAAAGAATATGCATTTAGGATCCTTGCAGACCTGACTCTTTAAAGGAAGTCTGCATGAATCTTTTCTTAAATATCTATTTTTTTTTTCTTTTTGGGTCACACCCGGCAATGCACAGGGGTTACTCCTGGCTCTGCACTCAGGAATTACCCCTGGCCGTGCTCAGGGGACCATATGGGATGCTGGGAATCTAACCCGGGTTGGCCATGTGCAAGGCAAGCACCCTACCCGCTATGCTATTGCTCCAGCCCCAAATATCTCTTACTATACCTGTTTTTTTAGCTTTGGATTTAGGTTTCAAGTTCAAATCAGACTCCTGGGGTATAAACACACTTACAGGTTTTGGAACAGCTGAAATTACTAGAATTTTTGGATTGGTGAGGATTTGGGTAGGGAGAGAGAGAGGTGAACCATGCCTAGTAGTGCTGGGGCTATTCCCAGCTCTGTGCTCAGGTGGTCACTCCTGGTCGTTTTGCTCAGTGTGTTGGTCTCTCTGGCCCCAGATTTGAAAAAAAAACTTAGCTAGTTCTTTGCTTGGGTACTTGGATTTCCTAGAAGCATTTCCATAGATGTGCAGTTGGCCCTTCCAGTCAGCTCTGGTGAGTGGGCTCCTATTCATGCCTGGCTAGCAGGACTCCTGGGCTCAGACCCTGCCACCCCTCACCCACATCTTGCTGGTAGCTTTAGTCAGGACATAGAAGGTCTCTTGACAGAAGAGAGACGAACCAGTCATTTCTGCCTGTCCCTTCCCTAGCCGGCTGCCCTTGGTTGGTGATCACAGATTTTGGTTGTTGCTTGGCTGATGAGCGCGTCGGCCTGCAGTTGCCCTTCACCAGCTGGTATGTGGATCGAGGCGGAAACGGCTGCCTGATGGCTCCTGAGGTGAGTGCCGCCACACAGGTCTTGCACTGTTGGCAAATTCTTCCATGTTTCCACTGATAGGATGAGACTTGATCCCTATTTACTCAGCACTTTCCTCTTCTCCATGATTTGGCACAAGCCCCCTTGCTACCACTTTGCTTTCATCTGTCTCTCACTAATATCCCTGAAGATGTGACTTGTGTCAGCACAAAGCATGCACTTGAAGCAGATGCTCCTGGAGCTGAGCCATGGCTTACTCAGGATTCCTTGGGACAGAGTCTAGTGAGGAATCAGATGCCATGCAGGAGCTTGACTGCCTGCCCTCTGCTTTCCGAGCAGGTGTCCACGGCCTGCCCTGGCCCCAAGGCGGTGATTGACTACAGCAAGGCCGATGCCTGGGCAGTGGGAGCACTTGCCTACGAGATCTTCGGACTCTCCAATCCCTTTTACGGCCAGGGCAAGGCCCACCTTGAAAGCCGCAGTTACCAAGAAGCTCAGCTGCCTTCCCTGCCGGAGTCAGCGCCTCTGGAAGTTAGACACTTGGTGCGGTCACTGCTCCAGCGAGATGCCAGCAAGGTAAGGCTATTCCGAGGCATCGCAAGATTATAGTGTACGGAATCCTCAGGTCCTGGCCCTAGTAAGGTTCAGGCAAGCTCTGGGATGATAATTCTGACTTACAAAGGTAAAAGCCAAATACAGAAAAAAAAATAGATCTGACCATAAATAGTTGGGTCAAGGAGATGGCTGAAAGGGCTGAGCGTAGACCTTGGACGTAAGAGTCACAGTTTTGTTCCCTAGCACGTTTCCCCGAATACTGCCAGGAGTGATCCCTGAGCAGAGCCCAAAGGTAAGCCCTTAAGTCTGCTAAGTATGGCCCCAAAACAAAAACTAATAGTAGGGGATATAATCCAGCAATTCAACCCTTCTGTACTTAGTGTAGGTGGTTAGCTTAGTAGGAAGAGTATGATGACAGATCAGGGTCCAAACTTACCTCGTTGAGCATGGCAGACAGTCATGGCCCCGGTAGATGCTGCCACTGGTTCCTCCACAGTGAGAAACGAGTGATGGGAAGGTTAGACCAACAATGCAAACTGCCACCGAGGACAAAAAGCCTCACCTGGCTAGAGCCAGTGATGTCAGCTGAGTGCAGGTACCAGAGGAGAACTTGGGATGGAGAAGTTGGTTGGGACAGAGAAGAGAAAGCCCTGAAATGAGAAATCCTGAACAGACAGGGTGTGGGCCCACCACAGGTCACAGATGTTCTGAGGCGTAGCTTCCTTCCTATTGCAGAGACCATCTGCCCGAGTCGCTGCCAATGTGCTTCACTTAAGTCTCTGGGGTGATCACACTCTAGCCCTGAAGAATCTAAAATTAGACAAGATGATTGGCTGGCTCCTTCAGCAGTCGGCTGCCACTCTGTTGGCCGACAGACTTACAGAGAAGAGCTGTGTGGAAACAAAGATGAAGATGTTGTTTCTGGCCAACCTGGAGTATGAAACGCTGTGCCAGGCCGCCCTCCTCCTCTACTCCTGGAGGGCAGCCCTGTGATCTTCGCCGCTCACAGAATCACTAAAAGAACTTAGAAGCATCTGTGTGATGGTGTGTGAATGCTGAGGGAAGGGATCCGAGGTGTTTAGGGCGGGAGGCAGGAGAAAAGATAGGGTGGAGAGGCTGCTCAGCCTACGAGAAGGCCTCAGGTTTGGCCAGTGGCAGGAACAAAGCTCCTGATCTATAACTACTAACTCAGCCTCGACTCTGGAAACATCATAGAAGCTATGCAGGCCAAATTTACACAAAATCTTATGTGTAAATTAAAGAAACTGGTCTTGATAGTTGCTGGCAAACTTATTTCTGTAGACACCAGGTCATAAATACTTTAGGTTGTCACTGCTATCCCACACTGTCTCTGTGGCACAGAAACATGTCTGTACAAGAGCTGTGCAAGAGAACAGGTGTGGCTAGGTGCAGAGGCACTGTTTATTAACAGATGCTGAAATTTTAATCTCGCGCATCACTAAACAGCCTTTTTACTTCTCAACCACTTGGAAACAAAAACCATGTTTAGCCTGCAGAGTGTCCTGCAGCCATAGTTTATATCCCTGGTGCAGATGAAGGAATTCAGAGGGTCTCTTAAAAAAAAGAGAAAGCTGGCAAGATAGCTCAAGTGATAGGGCACACGCCTAACATGGACAGGACCAGAGTTCAACCAACAGTACCGCATAGTTGCCTCCAGCTCCAGCACCATTGGGGGAGGCCCTGGTGGCCCCCAGTACCACTGGGTGTGGCCCTGGTGACCCCCAAATATCACTGGCTCAAGAAGCCAAATTTTGGGCAGTGGCTGTGGGCCCCTTGGACTGCCAGGTATGGCCCCAATAAAAATAAACACAAGGGCCAGAGTAATATTGCAGGACATGTTGCCAGCCCTAGTTCAATTCCTGGCACCACATGGTCCCAGAGCATCTCTGGATACCGTCCTGGAAGCCCCTCTGAGCATTACTGGGTGTGGCCCTGAAGGCCCCCAAGCACCACAGGGGTGGCTAAATAATTCTTAGGCACCACAGGACCCGAGCAACACTGTATCCTTAGGCCCTTGCATTAAACCACAAGCCCAGCTTGGATGGCAAGAATCTGTACCAAGAGGACCCCCCAGCATATAAGAAAACTTATCAGGCCCCTTCGTATATCTATATTGTGAATGTGGTCAGATCTCTAATGACATCCAAAGAGGAGGTCTCTGCACCAGCGAAAGAGACACCCAGATGTTCACTGTAACCAAGAAGCCCAATTCTGACTTCACAGAGCTGTGAGGGTTCATGGCCAAGCTGGTCAATAAGGTAATAGACTGAGGAGAGTTAAGACTTCAGACCAAGACAGGTCAGTGTGACATTTGTCCCTCTAGGAATGGATGGTGGCTCCCTTAAAAGAGGTGGCCATGACGTGTTTGCCTGTAGGCCAAACTAAAATGAACACTGGCACAGGTCAGCATGTTCAGTAAGGAAGGTCAGTACCAGAAGGAGCAAGCCTCCAAGTAGGGCAGAGTAGGGCACCTTCTTTCATGCATCTGAACTGTCTTGAGGGGGTAGGAGGAAGCACTTCCATAGCCTCCTCCAACTACTGAAATGACTAGTGGGATAAACTGATGAAATTAACAGGGTTGTGTTTTGAACTTGTTGATTTCCTTCTAGCATTTCTTGCAGAAATTCTGAATAATTAAATACAAGTTTTAACAGAATATATGCCTTGAACTGAGTATTTGGATTTACAATAGGAAATCTTGTGAAAGAGACAAAACCTAAAGTATTTCATGTATAATTCTACACAGGAACACAGTCACATTCAAAAGCAAGGTTACCTTGAGGTTCTTGCTTTAACCAAGCAATTCCATTAAAAAAAAAAAGCGGCTCCCTGCTGAAAGTCACCTGCAGCCTCACTCATGGCCACGGGTGAGACTCCGCGCCCAGAGCATGGGGGGCTTCAGCTCACCTCCCACTTCCCTGTGGGGAGGTGAAACCCAGGCCCTGACAGCGCCTGACCCCACCCCCAGAGCCCCGACCCTCCGCCCAAAAGATTCAAACACCATAAGCACAGGTCTTCATTTCAGAATCCCCACCTGCCCTAGTTGATCCCTTGAGAAGTTAGGAAACTATCATTTCTTAGTAAGAAAATACAGTCCAGGTAGGCAGACTAGGTCCCTGACTGTTCTGCATCCATTCATTACCAGACAGCATCCATACCACTAGCAAAGCATCCCATGGCCAGAGAAGTTTTAGGACATTTCTCTTTAATTTAGACTCTCGACGGCACATGACAAACACCATCTGGCATTCAAGGTGAAAAGTTCCCATAAAAATGACTTCCTAACCCCCAACCCCCAGTACTCAATGCCGCATCTCTCACTGAGGTAAGACTGTGCCACTGTCACACAGCTTAAAAAATAAAAATAAAAAAGGGGTAAAACCCAATCCTATTTAAAAAAAAAATTTTTCTGTTCACTGTCCATGTGGAAGGAAGAGAATCCCAGAGCTCCGTCCCCTCAGTCAGATTTCTCCTTCTCCTTCATGTGTAAGAAGACGATGCTGAAGATGAAGAGCCCCACCATCATGGAGAAGGCACTGGCGTAGTAGGGGTAGGCCGAGGGAATGAAGCGCTCATACTGGGTGTGCTGGAGAGGCCTCACGGACACCTGCAACAGGACAGCAGTGACAGGCCTGGCCACTGAGAAGCCTGGGCAGGGCTCACTCACACTGGCCGGGAAGGGACCTGTGCTTACCTGTGTGGAAGAGTATAAGTGTGTGTAGCCTAGTCGATTGTAATCCACTTTGAACTGGAATACACCATAGACGTCGGGCAGCTTGAACTGGACACTGTACTTGCCTCCTGGGGAAGAGCCAACACAAAGATCAGGAGGGCTTTCCCAGCAGTTCGGGGAGCCTCCCAGGGTAAGCTGGATGGGCACTGCCTTCCTGGCACTCTCGCCGCAAGAATTACGTTTACCTTTCCAAAAAAAATGTTTTTGGTCACACCCGGTAATGCCCAGGGGTCACTGCTCATTCTGCACTCGGGAATAACTCCTGGCAGACTCATTTGGGGAGCCGGGGATCAAACCCAGGTCAGCCCCACGTAAAGCAAGCCCCCTACCAACTATACTATCACTCTGGCCCGACATTTTACCTTTCTTCTTCAAGAAGGTCCTCACGAAAGGATCAATGCGGACAAACTCCAGCTGAATGTCGTCTCCGTCAAAGGGGACCCATTTGCCGTTGGAGAGCTGCTCAATCACAATGCTGTACTCCTGAGATGAGAGGCCGGTCAGCCAGGGGCGCCATCCTGAGCTGAACTACACCCCACTTGTGAGTGGGAAAACCTGGCCAGCACCCACCCCTGGGTCCAAATGCCACCGGCTTAGCCCTCGGACTCACGCCTATACCTCTACACCGGCCCACAGAAGTTTGTGCCCAAACCGTGCTCCACTATCACCCCCAACTGTTGTTGTCCCCCCCCCCACAGACAGAATACACCCCTTCAGATGGCCTCCCAGGAGGAGGTCAGTCCATGTGCCAGGCCCTCAGTGCCTAAGCTGAGTTTGTCAGGAGTCGAGGACAATGTACTCAACCATCCTCCATCTTACTGGGGCCAAAACAGAAGTGTCTAATAAATACCTGAGCTGAACTGATATGACCAAAATCTGGGGCCCGCCCACTCCGAGCTCTTACCACCAGGTCAGTGACAGTGTAGGCATGAGGTGGGGCTGTCTCGCCCACGCGATGATGGGACACAGGCCCCACACGGAGGACACCTTCCTCCTTGAACACCCAGCGGGAGAGGGCCACAGCTAGCTCATAGTTGCCCGTCTTGGCAAACCTGCAGGAGGGAAACGGGAGTGGCTCCATCACCTGTACCGGATACAGGACACTGATCACTACCCTCAAAGCAGCAGGCCATAAACTGGGTGACCCTTGGAGCTAAAAGGAATACTGTGGGCTGCCTCGCATGTGGCAGACCCAGGTTCAATCCCTGGCACCACATAAGATACCGCAAGCACTGCCAGGAGCCACTACCTGTACACAGAGCCAGGAGTAAGCCCTGAGCATCACCAGACGTGGGAACACCCCCACCCCCAAAATCAGAACACGGGGGAAAAAAGCAAAGGGACAGGAGGTGGTGCTGCTTTGGGCTGTCTTCTGCACAATGAACATTTGCTTTTCAGAAACTCTCCAGATAAGCCTTGAAAGGCCTGGCATGCCAACACCATGCCAGCAATATTGCCACAAAGTCTTCCAAGAACTTTCCAGCAGCCACAAATAGCTCGCGGCCTTTAACTAGGAGGCTCCTTCCTGCCTGTGAGCACAGACTCTGCCCCCGTACCACAGACCCAAGCCACCACCTCACCGCTGTGAGCCGGGCGAGTCCTTCTGCACTGCCGAGTTGAAGAAGGCGTCACTGAAGAAATCCAGCGAGCCGCTGAAGATGACCCGGGCATTGTTCCTGGCCTGCAGCCCCGCAATTAGGAGGGTGTTCTTTCCCACTGCATGGGGGTACTGGGAACAAGATGGGGCTGTCATTCCAGGGGTGCCAGGGTAAGGGACAGGAAGCTGAGTACCTGGGCCTCTCAAACCAAGGTTCCCCAAACATACTAGGCTGAACACCCCCTTTCTCAGTAAAAAAGCTACTCAGTACAATCCTGGGGATCCACTGCCTTTATAGGACAAACTGAAAACCCTTCCAGTTTCCCCCAGCACCACCACTGCCCCCTGGACAGTTGCTGCCCACTTTGCATAACACTAGTCTAAAGGCTGGTCGACAATAGGCCACACCAGAACTGCCTCAGAAGTAATGGAAGGGAGAGAACTAAGCTCAGATCCCACTGCAACCACTCCCTGCAGCTTCTCGCCATCCGCCTCAGAGCGGGGTACTCTGCAGGGTTCTCAATTTCGAGCAAGAAACTGTGGCACTACTAACCCAGTAATCCAGAGCTGGCCGCCCCCTGTACCTGTGTGATGGGTTTATCTGGGAAGAAGGAATAGGAGGTAGAAGAGCCAGTCAGAATGTCCAATACCAAAGGATTGTCGGGGTCAGCCACCATCCTGGAGAAGAAAGAGAGCATGCCAGCTAGGACCCCACAGAACCTGCGGGGCCTGAAGGGCCACTGCTTTGCAGGAATGAATCCTACGAACAGTCACGGATCTCTCCTGCTAAACCAATGAGGGGACTCAGAACATCACAAAACCATCTTATCCACAGCCTCTAGCAGAAGGAACCCCCCCACACACACCCCCACCACCAAGAATTATGTGTGTGGGTGGGAGGTAAAGCCATCCCTCCCAGGCTGGCCTCTCTCCTCACTCACCCAACACCTCGAAAGAGGATAGGGTTCAGAGATGATTTCCCCACAATGGTGGGGGCCTTCAGCAGGTTCTCCGTGTCGGCCACAATGAGAGTATGCTGCAAAGGCAAAGGCAGGTAGTGGTGAGAGACCAACGGAACCCCCAGCCTGAGAGACCCTCCTGGCTCCCTCCCAGCTCCCAGGCTGGGCTTGGCTGCAGGACCTCACACCTAGAGGGCAATTACCTGGCCAGGGTCAGATACGTCATAGCTGTGATGGTCAATGACAGCTGTCCTCTCCTCATCAAACTCGATCCCACACTCACTGCCCAGCTCTCGGAGAGGGTCACCTGCAGAGACCAAATCCTCACACATCCCACATCCTCATACCTCTCCCAGTCACCCAAAAGGCCAGGGCGCAGGTTCACACTATCTGGAGCCTCAGGCAGCGACAGCAGCACATTATGCTGCCCACAGGGGCCAGAATCGAACTGAAGCCAAAAATCAATGACCCAGGGTATGCACAATCACCTTCAAGCAAAACAAATTGCTTCAGGCACGCGTGACCGAGGAGAACCTGGACTTTCAAGGCTTCTCTCAGCCTCATTCCAAACACCCAGAAATCCACCCAATGTGGTCTTCAAAGATATGTCAATCGGTAAAAACATGAAAAAAGTGACACACAGAACCACACACAAGACCAACAGAAAACAGGAAACAAAACTGGCTGAGTCTGTTCACTGTTGGCTGCTGGGTGAGAAGGAAAACTGGGTTCAGGGAACACATGTCTTTCTACTTCTTTCAGAAAATGTCCAGAATCTTTCTAATGCCTTGGGGCCCCACTCATCCCTGCCTGCATTCTTTCTGAAGAGCATCACCAGAAAAACAGTGGAGAAAAACAAAATCAGAAAAATTAGGAGACATGGTTCCTGGCCCCTCCTATGGATCTGCTGGGGGACCGGTGAGGGGGTAGGACATGGCTCACAGCACACACACCGGAGCCAGCATGTTCGATGCCACCACCCTGCGACCCCTGAGCACCACTACGGTGGCACTGGTGGCTCCGGAGTACCGCTAGCCTATAACATAACAGATCAAAATTTAAGGACCCGCATCTGCTCTGGTCACAGAAAAGCACCAGGGGACTAGATGGCTCCAACATGTCCTTAGTCCCTCCCTGGCCAGTCAGTCCCTTCTGGCCAAAGCCCACCCTGCAGTGCCAACTTGCCAGCTTCCATCTGCCAAGTTCTCCAAGCTCCCCAGAGAAACAGGGGAGCCTCGCAGGCCAGACTTACCAATGTCTGAGCTGGCAGCGACCAGCACGCTGCCTCCGCCATCAATAAAGGTGCTGATGGTCTCCACGTTGATGTTGCCTCCAAAATCTGAAAAAAGGATCAGGCTCAGTGAAGGTTCTTTCCCTGCTCCTCTGGCCACTGCGAGGGGGAGGGAATTAGACACCAAATGCTACTACTGACCAGAGAATCCTCTGGAGGTGCAAGCGAGGGCTATTAGCACAGACAGCAACTCTCCGTCTCCCACAGTGAGAAACAGATATGACAAACACTAATTACAGTTACCCATATATTTTTAAAGTTATTTTAAAATATTTCCTTAGTTATGCTGCACTTTCTCCACACACATTTCGTGAAACAACTTCAGAATGATCACCTACCATTCTCACCCAGGATTTTTCTCACCACTAGAATCCTTTGGCAGGAGGGGGCAGTTATCCCCCCAGATTTCCAGCGCCTACCAGTTCCCTGACATATCTGAGAGCGCCTCTTTGAACCTAATGCTGCTGCTGTGCCGTGGGACTTGCATGCGTTTGCCCCACCTGAGTCACTTTTTCCTGCTCCTCCAGTTCCACCACCCACAGCATTCACAAATCTTGGCAGGCTGCTGTGCGCGATCGCCATGGCCGGAAAGACTCACTGCCAACTTTTTTGGTGCATTTGGTCAGTGAACTGTCATATGCATTCAGAACTGGCACTGAGTGGGGCTGCGGTAGGCACAAGAGTCTTCCTCAAAGCATACCCTGATGTTCACCATAAAGCAATGGCGCTTAGTCTAACACGTGATTGTTTCTTGTGTGCTGAGTAGAACAGGGAATGGAGAACCATTATAGGAAGGTTGGACAGGGAAGACCTTGGGGGGAAAGTGGCCTGTGAGAAGGTGGAGAGGGCGCTAGCAGAACAGGGGAGTATCTCCTATGGCTATTTCCTATGGCAGAAGTATGTACTTTTCCCCAAAGTGTGGGACCCTCTCTCCTCCAGGGGCAGAAAAGGTGACAAGAGAAATGTGGGCAGGGCTTCAAGCTTTCTCCAGCAAGACAACATCATGTAACCTGTCTCTAGCCTGGGGAAATAGTACAGGGGTTAGGGTGCATGCCCTGCACAGATGCACCTAACCCTAGTTCCATACCTGGCACTCATGGTCCACTGAGTATTGCAGCGGCCCTGCCCCCCCACACCCACCCAGCACCACCAGTTGTGGCACAAAGGCTCCCAAGAACCACCGGTGGTGGTTTTGGGGCCCGGGCGCAGAGCAGCACTGCATCCTGGAGCCTAGCAATGAACCCCTGCCCAAACTGGCTAAGCATCCCCAGGACTGGTCCCCAAGGCCCTCAGCAATAAGGAAAGAAGTGCCCTGTCTCAACACGCCCTCTAGTGTTTGCCGATTCCCTAAGAAGCAGCAGCTGAGGCTCCAAGGCAGCAGGGTCCTTGAAGCAGCAGGGTCACTGAAGTCCTTTCATACAAACTGAACTCGAGGAGGGCAAGCTGGCCTGCTGCGCAGTCCCTAATGCGGCATTCCAAACATGGCTGTGACCTGCCAACACCATCTCCTAACAGGCAGCAGTTACCTGTTAGAATGCATCATATTTATTACAAATATAATGCATTGTATTTATTCCACTCAGTTACCTTCCCTGAAAGCAATTGATACTGTCGTTCCCTTTCACTGCCGATTTTGGGTTTTTACTGGTTGCCTTTTCAAATGTTACAGTAAGGTTTTTTAAAGTGGATTAAATTGAAGCAAATTATTAGCACAGGTGACATGAAATAATAAACATCATGAAGGAAGTCTGGAAATACTACGATCTGCCCAAGTTTCAGGTTCCCTGCATTTCCCACACCACACACTTCTCTTCTATCACTGTCCCTCAGTCTCAGTCCATCTCTGTCCAGCTCAATAACTCTCCTAATCCACTTCCTGAGCACAGAGATGTCCCTCCCTGCCACTTAGGTGTCCTGATTCACTGAAGTCCTTTCATACAAACTGAACTCGAGGAGGGCAAGCTGGCCTGCCGCGCAGTCCCTAATGCGGCATTCCAAACATGGCTGTGACCTGCCAACACCATCTCCTAAAAACCCCACTCCGCAACCTGAAGATTCTAACTTGTATCACCTGTGGGTATATCCAGTCAACAACACATTTTAACCTGCACCACCTGCAGGTATACCCAGTCAACAACTCCAGGTGCTGGAGCGATAGCAGAGAGAGTAGGTAGGGCATCTGCCTTGCACTCAGCGGACCAGGGTTTGCTTCTGAGCATTCCATATGGACCCCGGAGCACCGCCAAGAGTAATTCCTCAGCGCATGAGCCAGGAGTAACCCCTGTGCATCGCTGGGTGTGACCCAGAAAGCAAAAAAAAAAAAAAAAAGATTTTTTTTAAAGCCAATTCCCAAAGGCACAGGCTGTGAAGGAATTGGGGGTAATACGCTAAGTGACGGGAGTCCAGGGAAAAGCATTTCAGGGATCTGGCTGAAGTCAATCTCACGTGACCTACAGAAAATAAAAGTAGCTCTCATGAATGATTCCCTAAGCTCCAGCAACTGCAGAAGAGATGGCAGGTCTAGCTTACCACAGACAGGGTCATGTGAGTCCTCTGAGCGATGATAAATGGAAGCTGCTAAAGAGAATGGCTAGGGTGCTCGCAAAAACACTGCAGCAAAAGAAACAGCTAAAGGTACTGGCGATATTGAGTCTGACACAGAAACAGCAGGCCATGATTACGTGAAGACTCTGCCCCTAAGCAAAATTACGCATTAGACTTCTCTAAGGCCCAGGGAAATAAAGTAAACTCCTTCCTGGGTCAGGAGTGTGGCTCAGAGAGAAGGTGCACACCTTGCAGGCATGAGACTTGGGTTCCATCATTGCATACCCACACACAAACCCCAGTAACAAAAAAAAAACTCCTTCCTCATCCTACCCAGATAAGCAGTGTAGAAAGTTTCCTTATGTGTTTTATAAGAAAAAAAATTGTAGTCCATAGACATTTCACTTTAAGAATTTAAGAGTTGTGCAATAGTAAACTAATTTACCTTCTAACAGTGGTTATCAAATTTGGCCTAAAGGCCCCTCTTTCAGAAAAAAATTACTCAGCATTCCCCCCCCCCCCCAAATCTACCTCCTATAAAAGAAACAGATAGAAAGTGCCCTCCCCCTCCAACGTCCCCCCAGACTGCAGTCAAATTTACTACTGCTCCCCACACTGCAGCAATGTAGAGAAAAAGGATCCCCACTCCCACTTTGGGAAACACTACCTTATATAGCAAGCTCTCTGGAAGCAAGAATACTGAGGTATCAATGGGATCTTCACTGGAAGATAAAGTGAAGAAACTGGTTCAGGTGAAACAACTAGTCCTCTAGGAGGTTAGTTAGGAAGGAAGAAAGCCGGGTAACTGCAATGACTCTTTTCAGTCTATGAATCTGTTTGAATCGTTTTCTTAAAGTCCTTCCCACCACTGTTGCAGATCATTTGGAATGAATGGGAGGACCGGAGGGCGCACGCATGTGGGCCAATCTACTTAAATATTTAAAATCAACTTCCACCAGCCGCTTTACAGCAAGCCTTGTAAGTGGCTGCTCATTTCCCCTTTCCACACCAGCAAACTGGATCAGCAACCGGTCCACCCTCCCTGGCTGCCCTTGTACGAGAAAACTCCCTTATTCCTCTGAGTAGCGGAGCCACGGGGGGCCCGTGTCCGGGGTGACACTTGCCCCCAACACTCCGCATTGGTGTTTGAGAAAGGAGGTGTCGGGAGTTGGCAGCACTTCCTTCTCCCGCGGCCGGAGTCCTGGATCTGGGGGCGCCGTGCAGCACTTACCTTCTACCGAGGGGGAGAAGATGATGAGGTTGTCATAGAGGAACTCCCCGTACTTAATGAGGGACAGGCTGGGGTCATCTGCGGTCTTGAATGTAAGTTCAAAGCCCCGATCTAGCGGGAGAAAAGAAAACGGGGGCGCTGAGGCGAGTGCAGGGCATGCAAAGGGTCCGCCCCCTGCAAACCCCACGAGGACCTCCCCGCCCGCGTCCCCGGCGCCCGGGCAAGACCTGGGCAGCCCGGAAGGGAGGGTGGCCGGTGCTCTCAGGCCTCCCGACCGGGCCCCCTCTCGGCCCAGCACCCCCCCACCCTCGGTGCACCCGCGACCCCGCTCTCACCCTTCAGGCTCCGGAAGAAGAGCGAATGCGTTTCCCGCAGGTTAAGGTTGTCCAGCAGGACTAAGGTGCGGGGCCCGCTGGCGCTAACCAGGCCCGGCAAAAGAAGCAGCAGCCACAGGCGAGAGCCCGCGCGGGCCGCCGCACCGGTCTCCATCTTCCAGCTCCGGCCCCAGAACCCGAGCACCTGAACGCCGGAAGCGCCCGCCCGACGCTCGCCCAATCGCGGCCCGGGGTCGCGGGCTGACACCCGGAAGTGATCCGGGGCCGGGCCGCCCGAGCCGCCCGAGCCGCCGCCGCCGCCCGAAGGGGCTGGGAGCGCGGGCGGAAGTGGCGGCGGGGCCTCTAAAGCCTATTGGCGAAAGGGGCTCGCTGCTCCGCCTCCCCAGAGGAGAAGGCTCAATCCTAGACAGACAGCTCTGCAACCGCGGCCAATCAACTCCCTTAGGCCCCGCCCACCCGGGTTACCGCCGGGAGCCCCCTAAAACGCTCTTCGGCGGGCTTCCGGCTGTTCATCGGCTAGGTCCGGGCGGTGATTGCTGCAGTCCAGGCTCGGAACTGGGCGTCGGCTATCCCAGTTCTCACTACCTGACCTCGTTGCCTGACCTCCCAAGGAAGAAGGCATTGAAAAAATTAACAGGGGCATCTTGAGTCTCCTGCCGCTTACATGCCCAGATACTCCCTGCCCTGCCCGCAGTCCGGCCTAGGGATGAAAAAACTCGGTTTGGGGGCGGGAGAGATTATTAAATAGGCCGAGTGCATGCTTTGCATCCCTGAGGCCCCGGTTCGATCCTGGGCACCACGTGGTGCTCACCCACCCCCTGAAAAAAAGCTCTAATTGAGTTCCATTTCCAAACTCCGTCCAAACTTGCCTGATACCCTGGTATATCACTACTCTTCAGGCCGCTTTCCTAGGCTGGAAATAGAAATAAGGGAGACCCGGCCCTTGTACTTATCACCTACAGGATTTGCCTCTGGAACAGCTGTAGGAGATGCCTCAGCATTCTCGCAGTCATGCCCATTCCCACACTTCAAATAGGCATAGGAATCATGCAGCTCCCCTTGGATCTGCCTCAGTCACCAGAGGTCTCAATAAAAGCCACCAGAAGCATCTCCACGACCAGTAGTTCCTGCTTCCAGCCACAATTCCTGGGTAGATAGCGAACTGTGGAGAAAGGTCTGACCTTTCCCACTTATCTATCAAGCCAAGCATGAAGTAGCAAATCTCAAAATCTCCTGCATCTCTTTAACTGGTTACTGCAGGTAAAGTCTCCCCCTCTCCCTCCCACCCTGGGCACACAGGCCCTCTCATCAAGACATTTCCCATTCACCCCTGGCGGTAAACTGATATCAAGTATTGATGCTCAGCAATCTGCCCTTTCCAGGAATGACTGAAGATCCTTCACTCAGCTCTGCAGAAAAACACTGCACAGCACCCACCCTCCTCTTCTTGATCCTGTGTGGGTGTTGTGGAGTAGGTACCCTGAACCTGACCACCTCCTGCCTTCTGCTTATGAGCGCCCCACCCCACCCCACCCCATTCTTTTGTTTTTGGACCACACCCAGCAGTGCTCAGGGTTTATTCTTGGCTCTGCACTCAGAGATCACTCCTGGTGGGGCTCAGGGGACCATATGTGGTGCCAGGGATTGAACTCAGGTTGGCTGCATGCAAGGCAAGCGCCCTGCCTGCTGTACTATCTGTCTTGTCCCTACCCCATCCCCATTCTTTTGTTTTTATTTCACAGGGGGTGGGAGAAGCTGCACGCACAGTGCTCAAGTCTGACTCCTGGCTCTCTGCTTAGGGATCACTTCTGCCAAGGCTCGGGGACCATATGTGGTACCAGGGATTGAATCTGGGATGGCCACATGCAAGGCAAGTGCCTTGCCTGCTGTACCATCTCTCCAGCCCCAAGCATCCTCATTGTTAAGCCTCCCAGTATATCATCTTTATATATGAATGCTGCTTCCTTCACAGGACATTTGTCCTCCATGAAGACCTGATCTTGCTTCCTCTCCAAACACAGGCTACACCCTACCTCCACTTAGAGAGCCAGTTTTTCCTAAGCACCCTTCACCCCAACTTCTCAGAGCATGGGCCAAATCCAGGATTGTGGTTTGTGAGCCTGACCACAGTCATGACTGCAAAATACAGAGGAGGAGGGGGACCAGCAGAGCAGCTGCTACTTCAGACACCAACATGCTCAGTGAGTCTTTGTAAGAAGCCCCCACTGGGAGCTCTCCCATTTTAGAGGCAAGGCTCAAAGTGAAATGAGGCTGAGGACAGCATCAAACACCATGCCTTTCCCCTCAGCTTGTGGGTAGGACAAGGTTATCTCCCAGGAAATGGAGGGGACCTGCAATCATTCCTGATCACGTCTGCCCACCTGGTTCCAGCACATCCCTGGAGACTCTCAAAACCTGGGCCCGAGAGATTGTACAGGGGTAAGGTAGTTGCTTTTCATGTAGCTGACCTGGGTTCCATCTCCAGCCCCATATATGGTCATTCCCCACCCCCAGCCCCTCCAGGAGTGATCCCTGAGTGCAGAGTCAGGAGCAAACCCTCAGCACCACTTGTGTGGCCCTGAAACCAAAATAATTTTTTAAATTGCTTTAAAATTTAAAAAAATGAAAACCGGGCCTTCTCTGGGTCTCAGCAAGACAGAGCCTCTATTTTTCAAAACAAGGGCTCTGCTCTCCTGGGTCACAGAATATAATGACATGTCAGATATTCTCCCCAGAAAAAAAGTACATATACTCACAATTGTGGGGAGCTGCAGAAACCCAGATGCCTGTTTGTTCTCAAGATCCCAGGCAGCAAAGAACCCCTGCTCCAGAAAGAGCCCCTTGAAGAACAGGGCAGCCCTGGGGGACCGTGCAGACAGAGGATCTGGGAGGGGACAGTCATGGATAAAAGGCAGTTTATTGGGGCAGCTTATGTGGCATGGTCTCCTCCTGGGACCCCAGAGCAGCCCAAATCAGCCTCCTGGGGAGAGCTGCCCTAGCACTCCATTCCCGTGCCTGCGGGGCTGCCCCGACGGGTGCTGTCTAGACAGAGGCACCGTTTTCAGTCACCAGGCTAGAGCTCCCAGAAGTTGCTGCCCACGCGGCAGGGCTGCTGGAGAAGGCGGGAGGCAGAGTCGAGGCCTTGGAGACCATGTAGGCCCTGCACAACACTGGTGATGCTGACGGGAGCACTGCAGTGGCCTGAGGGAGCTGGAGAAAGCCTCTCGGAGGATGGGGTCCAGCCCTGCAGCCACCCCAGGCTGATGTTGGGCCACAGGGAGGAGATGGTGTCGGGGAGGCCCAGTCACTGGGGAAAGGGGAAGAGGCCTGGCAGTGTCCCCCAAGGCCGAGGGGCCGGCGGCGGCAAGCAGCGGTGTTCACAGAGGCTCACTGCCAAAGCTGCCTTTGCTCTTCTTCCGCCTGGCCTTGGTGAAGGGGATGTCAAGGGACTCGAGGCGGAAGGGCCGGGGCTGGGGCATTTCGGGGACTTGGGCAGGTGAGATGGCAGTGTTGTTGCTGAGTGAGGAGCCAAGGCCTGGTGATGAGTTGTGATGGGCTGCGGAGAAGAGGCCAAGAGGTCGCAGTGAGTTCACAGGTAGGAATGAAGCCCATCCCCTCCCCAACCCCCCCCACACACACACATACCCTGCCAGGGGCCTGGGCCTGAGAAGCCCAAGCTCTGAGAAGCAGTTCTGGTGAGGCACCACCTCTGCATGGAAAGGATTTAGGGATTGGGAGTTTGGAGTTTAAAAGCCTTTTTCTGGGATTTCAAGCAGACAAGCCTGGGTTCCAAGATCAGCTCTACCACCTCCTGGAAGGTGGCCTTAGGCCCCTGTCTGCTCACCTGCAGGGTAGCTACAATGCCAGGTACTCAACAGACTACTTTCTTTTTTTTTGTTTTGAGATTGAGACCACACCCTGCGATGTGTAGGACTTACACCTGGCTTACTCAGGGCTCACTCCTGTGGGGGCTCAGAGACCCTATAGGGTTCCTGGGATTGAACCCGGGTTGGCCAAGAGCAGTGCCTTTCTTGCTGTCCTATTTCTCTCCTGTCATTTTTTTGCTTGTTTTTTGAACTGCATTCAGCAGTGGGAGTAGTAGGGGTAGGGGAGTGACTCCCAATTCAGTGCTCAGGGGTGATGCCCAGAAGTGTCAAAGGAACCATGTGGTGGGGACCGAACTCAGGGCGTGGGCACTGAAAGCGCTCTGGGCTGTGAGCCGCCTCCCTGGCCCCTGATGGCAGTTTCTTTCCTGTCCTGTTTTCCTCCCCGGTTCCACCCACATTGTCTCTTAAATACCTCGAAGTTTGAAATTTGTCTTTTCATTGTTCCTTGGTTGGATGCTCTGTGAGCTTTGGTCTTAGTTCTAATTAGTTTGGTTGGGTTGTGTTTCTGTGGGGTAGAATCACACTGAGGGCCTCACCCCAATGTGCATCCCTGGCCCTGATTTCCAGTTTAAACGCAGAAGCATGATCTTTTTCAAATCCTTGCTTTTTAGAAGTGGGCTGCAACTGTGGCCCTACTCACCTCCAGGCTCATTTTGAGAACCAGAGACAAAGAACCTGACACAGGCAGCCCCAAAACCCAAATCAGGGCACCATCTGTGCCAAGGGATATACATGTACCAGGGGAATGAGCCTATCTACTCCCCAGGAGATGACAGGGTAGGAGAGAAGAGAGGCCACGCCAGGGGTGGGCTCGCTGCCCTCTGTCCACACCGAATCCTGAGAAGCATGTGTTCCCTCCCTCACTGAAAGCTGAAGAATCAGACACAGTCAAGGGGTTGGGACCTGGCCTCTCAGACACCAGCACCCCCTCTCCCAGCTTGGTTGGGGGCAGGACGGCTCTCAGGAGGGGCAGGAAGGCAAGATGCAGGTGTTCTACTCACCGAGGCTCTTCATGGGATCCGTGCTGAGGATCTGACTGATCCGCTTGGACCGGAAGTAGTTACTGGCAATGTTCTCACTGTCACTGCGACTGAGCATCAGCTTATAGCGGTCTTCTTCCTGCTGAGATTCCAAACCCTTTGTGGTACCAGGTTAAGAACTGCGTTTGAGGGAGGCTGGAGCGATAGTACAGTGGGTTGGGTGCTTGCCTTGGACACTGCCCACTCGGGTTCAATCCCCAGCAACCCCTTAGGGTCACCTGAGTCCCACCAGGAGTGATCCCTGAGTGCAGAGCCATAAGTGAGCCCTGAGCACTGCCCGGTGTGGCCAAAACAAACAAAAACAAGAATTAGTTCTTTGAACCGGAGAGCTGGTTTACAGAACTGACTTTACCTGGGGAAAGGGGTGAGGCTTGGGGGTGCTGGGAGGGGTCCCTGAAACATTGGTGAAGAGAACTGGTCACTCTGGTGGTGGATGTGGTGTTGCAAATCATGTTACAACAATGATTTACAATGTTACAATGCTACTCAATAAAAATGAGGGGGAGCATTAAAAATTAGTCTTTTGGGCCAGAGAGATGGCTCAAAGAATTGGAGCACCAGCTTTGCAAGAAGAAGCCCTGAGTTCAACAACTGGTATGGTGCCCCAAGCACTGCCAGGAGTGACCCCAAGCTGTGAGCCCAATGTGAACCCCCCCAAAAACAAACAAAATATGCAAAAAAATTTTTGTTGTTGTTGTTGTTTTTCAGGAATAACATTTCCTTTTTCACCAGTTAAACTATCCAAAGCAGGGGCTGGAGCAATAGCATTTGCTTTGCACGCGGCCGACCCAGGTTCGATTCCCAGCATCCCATATGGTCCCCTGAGCACCGCCAGGAGTGATTCCTGAATGCATGAGCCAGGAGTAACTCCTGTGCATTGCCAGGTGTGACCAAAAAAAGCAAAAAAAAAAAAAAAAAAAAAAAAAAAAAAACACACCCTATCCAAAGCAACCAAGCAACTCGAGACCTGTAGAGGCTTCTAGGTTTAAACTCATTGTCCCAGAAAGGGGCCTTATTGCCAGCAAAGGCACATTCTTTGTTTTGTTTGGGGGCCATACTTAGCAGTGCTCAGGCCTTACAGGGATTATTCCTGGTAGGATTCAGGGGAGCAGATATAGTACTAGAATTGAACCTAGATGAACTACTATCTCTCCAGCCCCTGGCAAAGGTACTTTCTCTGAGGTTTATAACGTATCGCTAAGGGTGTCAGGCAGGGACCCACAATTTATAGCCTGTAACTATGAGCAATGGTAGCCCCCAGAGGGCTTTGTTCACCAAACATCACTGTCACTGTCCTCCCATTGTTCATGGATTTGCTCGAGCGGGCCCAGTAACGTCTCCATTGGAGACTTTGTTGTTACTGTGTCTGGCATATCGAATACTCTCGGTAGCTTGCCGGGCTCTCCGAGAGGGGCGGAGGAATCGAACTCAGGTCGGCCATGTTGGCTGCGTGCAAGGCAAACGCCCTACCGCTGTGCTATTGATGCCTTTATTTATACACCTTCTAGGATGGTTTTTGTGTGATGAAGAAAGGGCTGGGTAATTATGACAAATGATATAAAGCCTAAAATACTTCCTATCTGGTATTTATGGAACACTCTGTGAAGATATTCCTGCTTTTGTTTTGGGGGGCTACTCCTGGCACCATGCTCAGAAGTCACAATATGTGTAATGCCAGAGACACAATTTGAATTTGACACAATTTGCTTCCGTGTGCAAACATGAAGATACTTCTGCTGCAACACAAAAGATGGGCGATATAAAAATTAAGTGACAATCTCCCAATTGTTTCATAAATCCTTTGAAAACTTGGGACAAGAGCAATAATACAGCAGGTAGGGTACTTGCCTTGTACACAGCTGATCTGGGTTAGAATCCCAGCACCCCATAGGGTCCCCCAAGTCCACCAGGAGGATCCCTGAGTGCAGAGCCAGGAGTAAGTCCTGAGCACAGCCAGTTTTGTTTTGGCTCCAAAACAAACAAGCAAAAAATCCCTTTGAGAACATCTTTGTTCTGAGGAGACTGGCTGGGGCCCCCGAGGCTCTGCAGGGCTCTTCTTTACTAGCAGGACAGAGCTGCCCCCAACTGACTTCATACCTACCCCATGGGATTTGTGACCAGGGGAGCTTTTGAAAGAGGGTAAGAGGGCTGAGGGACTGGTTGGCCCCAGAATATCCCAGAAAGGCTCCCGGCACAGTCTCTGCTTTCATCGAGTAACCCCGGGGGCCAAGCCCAGCCAGCCCCTTGGCTCCCAAAGGACCTACCAGGCCTGGCTCGCCACTGTCCACCACCGAGGTCTTGCTTGCCGATTTGTTCTGTGGCCCTGTAGGAACTGCTATGAGGAAAGAAGAGCTGGAGTCACAGCCGCCTGGCTGCAGGCAGAGGCCAGCAGGAGTTCAGGTTTGAGGCTGGTGGGGGGTGATTCCCACCCCAGCCCAAGGAGAGCTCAGAGTCAAGAAGCAGTTTCCTGTTTGCAGGGAACAAGATGGGGCCAGGTGGGGACAGGAGGAAACCCAGCGCCTGTAGTGTGTGGGACCGGGGCAGGTGTGAGAGTCAGAGTGTCCTCTGATGCCCACACACTCCCAAGAGGACCCGGAGAGCACTGTGAGGTCCAGGGGCCCCCAAGGTGCTGGGAAGACCCATGATGGGTGTGAGATTCCCTCCAGCTCACAAAGCAGAACGGCCTTTGGGAGCGTCTTGTCTGGGGCAAGGTTAGGGGTTCAAGTGGCTTTGTATGAGCAAGGCCCTGGACCCCATCCCAGCCAGGCCTACTATACTCCACCCAAAACACACACATACACACACACAAGGGGTTGGAGTGATAGTACTGCAGGTAGAGGGCTTGCCTTCCACATCAAACCCGGGTTCAATCCCTGGCATCCCATATGGCTCCCCCCAAGCACCATCAGGAGTCATTTCTGAGTGCAGAGCCAGGAATAACCCCTGAACAACACACCAAAACACACACACAGGAGGGAGGGAGGGAGGGAGGGAAGGCAGTTCCTGATGGTTTGGGTGGGATCAGGAGGAAGTGGTCATTCGGCAAGTGGCTCGGCCAGCAACCCTGGGAGTAGACTTGTGGAGAAAGAAACAAGCTGTAGGTATGGTCCCCACAACAGCAAAATAATAAAAACAATAATCTTATCCAGCCCCCTCCTTGTGAGCATCAGGGACTGAGACCCAGAGAGGGACAGTGGCACTTGTCCTGGTGAGGGGGTGGGGGTGCTGTGTGGGGCCATTCTCCGCTTCTCCTGGTGGGGGCGCTCTGTGCGGCCATACTCCATCTTATGCACAGGAGTACCCCCTGACAGTGCTCAGGAGAACATATGTGGTGCCGGGAATTCAAACTGGAGAGTTGGCAGTTTGAGATTATTGGGATTGTTCAAATGCTGAAGTTCCGGGATGCAAGACAAGTGCTTTAGCCCCTGTACTCTCTGTCCGACTTTATCAGGAGGCCACACAGGAGGTCAGTAATGGACAGGTCAGTTGGATCAAGCCTGAAGCTCCAAGTTTCTGACTTTCATGGAATTTTCGAAGGGGTTGCTCTAAAGCAACCAAGCAGTGCTTAGGGTCCTGTGGGCCTCTCCTGGCAATACTCGGACAACTAAGCCAGTGGCTCACTGCCGGGACCTAAGGACGTGGTGCTGCTTCGTCTCTGTGGAGCTGGGGACCAGCAGAGCCACCCCAGCAGTGCTCGAGAGCCCTCAGGGCTGCACCCACTGTGCAAACAGCTGCTTTTCTACCACCAGTCCTACAGCTTCGTTCCGAGCTGGAATTTAGACACACCCTGCTCTCTGAGTAGCCTGTTCTTTCTGGACCCTCGCAGGATGAAAGATGGTAATGGTCATAATAAGACCACCAGGAGGGTGCTATACTATCCCAAGGAGTGATAATAGCACTGGGTACAAGGGGGACGGGGTGGGCAGATACTATCTGTTTATTCACTTGAAGATACATTTCCAAGGGGGTGCTGAATGATTTCTTTCTTTTTTTTTTTTCCTTTTCTAAAAAGGAGGCAATATGCCAAATAAGTTTTGGAATCTCTGAAATGGGTCAGGTATGGCTCTAAGGGTGTCACATGTATGAACACCTTTTGGGGGTGGGGTAGGGTACAGCTTGGGTGCTGGCAGTGCTCAGGAGCTACTTCTGCACAGTTCTTGGGGGTCACTCTGTGGTGCCAGTGACTGAGTCCAGGATGAGGGCACTGCTCATGCCCTTAGAGGCATATCCCTGACCCCACAATAAGACTTTTCATTAGATTTTGTTTCTGTTCTGTTTGTTTATTTGTTTTGCTTTTGGGGATGCTCAGGGGTTCCTCCTGGCTCTTGCACTCAGGAATTACTCCTGGAAGTGCTCCCTCCTGGAGGGACCATATGGGATGCTGGGAATCGAACCCGGGTCAGCCACTGCATTGCAAGATGAACGCCCTCCCTGCTGTGCTATCGCTCCAGTCCCTGTTTCTGTTTTGGGGTTGTGATCAGGGCTTACTCCCAGCAGTGCTCAAGGGTTGCTCCTGGCTCTGCAATCACGGATCACTCCTGGTGGAACTCAGGGTGCTGGGGATTGAACCTGGATCAGCTGTGTGCAAGGCAAACGCCCTACCTGCTGTGCCATCTCTCCAGCCCCCCACAGGAACTTTTTAAACCACACAGAAGTCTGTAAGAGTGCTAACTCCTCTCCACTTCCCAGAAGAGGGTACTGAGACCCAGCCAGGGGAGCGAAGGCAGCTGTCTGATCCCAGAATACATTCCTCTCTCCCGGGGGGTCCCCCCACGTTCAGATGGCCCCCTCCCCTTTGCCAGCCAGGGGAGGGGGCCAGGAGTGCCTGGGGGTGGGGGGGACAGCCAAGCATCTGACCTACTGGGAGGCTGGTTTTGATGATGACAGGGTCCGGGAGCTTCCAGAAGCCATTGTCCTCATCCCAACAGGACTCACGGCGGATCTTCTCCAGGTTGCTATAGTTACAGTCCCTGCGAATCAGGGGCTGCACCTGCTCCAGGAGCTGCTGGAAGAGCAAGGAGTCACGCTCCTGCCGGCGGATGGTGGCCAGGTAATCGATCTTCTCCAGCTCAAACTCTGACTGCAGATCTTTGATCTCCACCTCTGCTGCCCGAAGCTAAACGCAGAGGGGGACACGCAGGGAGCAGGAGAGACATGGAGACATTTCACTTCGGGCCGAGACTGTTCTTCCAGCCAGCCCCTTGTCCTCTGCTCACTAATCCACTGCCCTGTGCAATCTGACAGCCGCCCCTCTCCCCCTCTGCCCAGCCAGCCTCCACCTGGCGTGTCCTCTCCTCCAGCATTTAGATGATCACATACCACAGCCACACGCCTGCAGAAATCAGTTCGTCATAAACCCAACAGCCAGCCCTCAGTCACTATCCGACACCCATACAGTTTATCCAGGAGCCTTTCAAAGGCTCCACATACAATACAGCCCTAAACAATCTCAGAGACTTGTACTAGGTCTTATCAGGGGAGCAGAGGCATAAACTCTCAGATCTGCCAGCCCTGGTCTCCAGTGCTACAATCTCTGCTGCAAATGACAAGAGTGAGCCCGGACAGCCAGACCCCCTTGCTCTGACCAGAGTTTTATATATGTATATATTATATTTCTTATAATTTTGTTATATAAGTCTTATACTTCTTTCTTTGTTCATTCCCAAGCATTCATTTTGATGTATTGTAATTGAAATCATTTTCTATAGTTAGCTGCAGATTGTTCAGTGCGGTTGTAAAGAGACACAATTGTATCCATCCTGCAATCTGCTAAATTTTCTCTTACCCTAGAAAAAAATTTCATTGGATTCATTAGGATTTTATATATATAAAAAGATCATGTTGGGGCCAGGTATGTGGCTCAGTGATAGAACATCTGCCTTGCATGTGAGATCGAGGTTCAATTCGCAGCACCACATGGTTCAGTGAGCATGGAGACAGGAGTAGCCCTTGACTATCACAAGGTATGATATAAAAACACAAAAAAATAGATATAGGGGGTCAGAAAGAGAGTATAGTAGGTAGGGCGCTTGCCTTGCATGTGACTGACCAGGGTTCAATCCCCGGCACTTCATCTGGTCCCTTGAGCACCACCAGAAATAATTCCTAAGTGCAGAGCCAGGAGTAAGTCCTGAGCATTGCGGGGTGTGGCCCAAAACAAAACCAAACCAAAAGAACCATCATGTCTTCTGCAAATAGAGAAGTTTTGCCCATTATTTTTTTAAAAGCAGATGCCTTTCATTCCACTTTTTTGCCTACCTCACCTTGCTTAGCACCTCTAGGCCAGTGTTGCAAAGAAGTGGTAAAATGATTCCCCTCAAGAAGCCCCTCAAGTTCCCCCTTCAAGCCTGTGGAAGAGGGGGGCATAATGGCTGGTGGAGGGGCTGCTTTGGAAGAGGTGCTGCTGAGAAGTGAAAAAGGAAAGCCGACCCGGCACTTGAGGAACCCTACCCACAGCACCCCGCTTCCCAGCTGTCTGATGCACGTGTCATGGGTCTGCAAGGAGAATGGACCTCGGTCCCACACTGCGCAGGACTCCTTCCTGCCGACCTGAAGGAGCCTGGGAAAGATGGTACCCTAGAAGCACCGGAAAGGACCGCAGTCCTGGCACTGCAGTTTCAGCCTGTGGAGTCTCTATTTCACGGACTCACTCCCAGCAGTGCTCTGAGTTTGAATGCTGAGCCCTCTCCCACCCGCCCCTAGCCTTCTGGGAACTGGAGCACAGGAATCAGCCACACGGTTCCCAGACTTTGACCTTTAGAACTTCAAAGTCATAAATCATAAATCATAAATTTTTATTGCAACGGGGAAGAATGTTCTCAGCAACAGGATGGTAATTAAAAGCTCTATTCTGTTTTTGGCCTGGGGGCCACACCTGAAGGTGCTCGAGGGCTACTTCAGGTAGTACTTGGAGGGAGGGACCCTGTGGTGTCCAGGATTGAATCTGGACCTCTCACTTGCAAATCTTGTGTATTAGTCTTTTGAGCTATCTCACTGCCTTGCAAAGTTTTATTTAAAACTGCACATCTTGGGCCAGGACAAATCTAGGGTCCTAGCCCTGACACCACAAGAACTCCTGGGCATTGTCAGGTGGAGCCCTGCAGGCCCGCAAGCATGATTAGGGTGGCCGAGATGGTTCCTGAGCACTGCCAGGCCCTAGCAGCTCAGAACCCTAGGACCCTGGCACTGAACTGCCCAGCCCAGTCGATCAAGCATCACTGGTAGTAGCCCTAAGGTCCCCTGAGCACTTCTTAGAAATCACCTCCCCATACACACACACAAAACCCTTCACTTCCTAAAAAGTGATAGTCATCAAAACTGCATGGTGGGGGTTGAAGAGATAGGACAGTCAGCCAAGCACTAGCTTTGTATGCAGCCAATTTGGGTTCAATCTCCAGCATCCCAGATGGTCCCCCAATCCTGGCTAGGAGTTATCCTTGAGAGCAGAGCCAGGAGAAAGCCCTGAGCACAGCTGGGCATGGTCCATAAACAAAAATGGGAGAAATAAAAACTGCATAATACTGGAATAAATGCAGACTCTCAGATCAGTATAATAGAACTGAGAGCCCAGAGGAAACGCCTCAGGTGTACGGATAGTTAAAACCTCTTCAAGAAATGGTGCTGTGGGGCCAGAGTGCTAGTAGAATGGGTAGTGAGTGTGTGCTCCCTACCTGGGTTCCATCTCCCATACGGTCCTCTGAGCACCACCAGGAGTAATTCCTGAGTGCAGAGCCAGGAGTAACCTTTGAGCATTGCCAGGCATGGACCGAAAACAAAAAAACAAAAAAGAAAAAGAAAAAGAAATGGAGCAGGGTAAACTGACAGCCACATGCAAAAAAAATTTTTTTTGCCATATGCAAAAAAAAATTATATACATATATGCATATATATGAAACTAGACCCCTCTTTCACATGACACACAATAGATTAATTCAAAATGGATTAAAGATCTTGATAGCTATTAAATACACCGAGGAAAACATCAGCAGAACTCCCCACGATATTGCCTTTTATTTTCAGAATAGATGCTTTTCATTTCACATTTTCTGCCTAGCAAAAGTAGGAGTATTTTTGTATTCAATGAGATGACCCCACTGGCAAAGAAAACAAAACCGGGGATAAGCAAATGGAACCATGTCAAGCTTAAATGATTCTGCACAAAGGAAATGAGACCTAAAAAGGACACACACCAGTGACTGGGAGAAAATATTCACACATCACACATGGTACAGAGGGCTGCTTTCCAAGATATATAAAACACTCCCAAAGCTCAAAGGAAATAAAATAAAACACATAACCCCATCAAAAATAGGGAGAGAGAGCTGGCACAATAGTACAGCGGGTAGGACATTTGCCTTACACACAGCCAATATGGGTTCAATCCCCGGCAACCCATATGGTGCCCTGAGCACTGCCAAGAGTGATTCCTGTGCAGAGCCAGGAGTCACCCCTGAGCATTGCACAGGGTGTGAACCAAAAACGAACAAAAAAAAGGGAAGAAGAGCTGAAAAGATACTTCTTTTAAAAAAGACATACTGATGGCCAATAAGCATATGTGAAAAAGTATTCAACTTCATTGATTATCAGGGAGGCACACATCAAAACAACAATGAGCTAGTCACCTCACATCAATGAGAAAGGTCTACATAAAAAATCTGGAAACAACCAGTGCTGGTGGGGAATGCAGTGAAAAAGAAACCTCATTCACTGTTGGTGGGGATGGTCTTTGATTCTGTATTTTTGGAAAATGATGTAGAGACTTCTCTGAAAATTAAGAATAGACTTTCCACATGACCCAGCGATTCCTCTCCTGGGTGTCTATCCCAAGAACAGTAAAACTTGAATCTGTGAGGATATATTCACATCTATGTTTACTGTGGAACTATTCACACAGTCTAGAAATAATCCAGTGTCTAACAACAGATTAGCCAAAAGAGTGGCTAATCAAATTGTTACATACACATACACACAGACACATACGGGCAAACACACACATACAGGGTGGATTATTACTAGCTATGAGAAAAGATGCCATTTTGCAATTTTCTACAACCAGGATAAAAATGGAAAGGATCATGCAGAAGTCAGAAGGCAGAAGACAAATACCACACTAACATCGTTCAGATATGGAATATAAATAAAGCAAGGGATAGCCCATCCCCAGTGAAAATAAACCAAGCTATTGTCAGCAGAATAGTAACTGGTGTTGGCAAAGGATGCTGGTGTAAGACAGAACCTTGGGAGCACAGAGGAGAGTTGCTCTGAGGGTGGGGTGATAAAGCAGCGCTGTAAGGATAAAACAATAATATAGCAAGCCTATTGTAGCCACATTACCTCAATAAAAGTAAGTTTAAAATAAAACTGCATTTTTTGGGTCAAGGATGTGGCTCAGCAGTAAAGCATTTGCTTTGCATGTGAGGTGCGCTGGGTTTTTGGTCCCAGGCATTTTGAAAAAAATAAAATTTAAAATAAAAGTAATGGGGTTATGGTACCGCCAGTAGGTCAACCTGTACCTGCAGGGTGAGTGCATCAGCAGCAAGATGGTGCCTTCAGACTTCCTGATACCCCAAAATTGCCGCTCTGCCTATGGCCAAACCCCAACAACTTGGGATCAAGTTTACCAAGAAATGAAATGGCCAAAAGTTAGGTAGGTATGTGGGAGTCACACCCACAAGCCATCTCCGGCTCAGCTATACAAGCTCATTTATTGACCTTATTTCAGAGACCCATAGATAAATTCGAAAGAGATCCAAAGCCACAGTTAATCTTGGACCTGAACATGGCTGAACAGACTGGGGTAAATCGAAAGGGGGGTAGGTTGGCCTGGTGGCCCACCCAAGCAGAGCCCCAGCAGCTGCTTGCTTCCACAATCCAAAATTGCAGACATATCCCCAGCCTGACTCCACCATCTCAGAACAGACCTCACCAAGATAAATCTGCTGAAAATTTGGGTATGCAGATTTTGTGACTAAAATATCCAGACTTTCTCAGAGTTGGAGTGGGCTACCTCCCCTCACTTCCCAATACACATGGAAGCACTGACAGTCACCCCCATGAACCAACTCCAGTGCCACCCTGTAAGCTCTACTGCTGGCATTGCTTCAGAGACCCCTAAAT